TATTGTCTTCAATGGTTTATACTATGACAAACTTGAGATACAGTTGTGATACAATTTTCTAAAGCATTTTTGGGATGAACAAGAGTGTAATAATTACTGAGACTACATTTGTTATATCTGTAAACCACGTGATATAGCTGAGTTGCACAGGTCATTAAATGGTTGAGTTGAAAACCATCCGATCTGTATGATGATGTCATGTGTTGGTTTTGAAGTATACAAATTTTCAGAGCCCCCCCTCCTAGAGCAACAATTTTTTCAGAGCCCCCCTTTCGGGTGTCTAAAAATTTTCGGAGCCCCCCCTCAATATCTTCATCCCCCCCCTTGTCATATTAAATGAACTTTCCCTAAGTATGTTTTAGCTTTGTTTTTAAACCAGGAATTATTTTGAATGAATACTGAATTCGGCTTTCGTAACACATGAAGAATTGTGGAGATCTCGGAGGGTGTTATCCGCCTCGGCCTTCGGCCTCGACGGATAACACCCTCCTCGATTTCCATAATTCTTTACTAAGACACTCAACCTCATTCATTAATTGTTAATTATTTAATCCTTTTTTTCTTGCCTTTTTTGGGCCGTCGCATAAACCGGGGGGTAAGTTTTGGATGTAGACACTTTTTGGGGGGTACATTTTTAATATGCTTAGACTTGGTTAAAAAAATCACCGGCCCGCCCTTACAATTGGAACGGACATTCCCTAAACTGTAGCAGGAGAAAATGAGCTAAAAAAGCGAATCCCCCATACATAGCCCCGCCTATTCTTGTTCTATTGTTAAATAACAGGGGGTTCACACAATCTGTGTGTGTAGCCGATGTTATTTTACAGTAAATGTACTGGATTTACCGTTTGCCTCACCCATAGCGATATATCGCTAAGTATGTACATACATTGCCCTGTACTATGGTCATCCAAAGTACCTGATTGATAGACTTCAACTTCAGAATTCAGCGACTCGCCTTGTTACCGTGTCAAGAAAGCATGATCAAGTATAAGAACTCCTGCTGCGTATTACGATCTTCAAACAAGCATTTGCATGATGAGCCCGTGGCTAAATTAAAGACCTATGGTGATAGGGCATACTCCGTTGCTGCTCAAAAATTGTGGAATAAGTCAGCTGAATAAGTTACCATCGGACGTCAGGCTATCATCGTCACTTACTGTATTTAAAACTATTAAGAGCTATGGTACGGACAATTAGTGGAGTATGGCGCTATATAAGTGCATTTTCATTTTCGTTTTCATAAATCAATGTTAAATAAAGTTGAATTACCTTACCTGTGTATATAGTCGTCCTTTTGCCTCAAAAGCGGTTTTTGAGCGATTTTGAAGTAGTTTGAGTTCGCCGTTTACTGTTCCTAAAGGGCGAACTCAAACTCCTTCAAAATCGCTCAAAAAACCGCTTTTGGGGCAAAAGGACGACTATATTCCACAGGTAAGGTAATTCAACGTTTATTTCACATTGATCTATATACATATATAACGAGATATCGCTATAGGTGAGGTAAACGGTAAATCCAGTGCATTTACTGTATAGTAACATCGGTTACACACACAGATTGGGGTAACCCTGTGGAAATCTATTCTTGCTTCTGCTGTGGGGACAGTTGGAGACGTCTAGGCTACGACAACCTTGAAAACATTTTATACAGAGCGTGCGCACACGATGTTCATGCTGGCAGGCAAACCAATAGGCCATTTCCGAGTTCCAAAAAATCTCACTTTCAAAACGAGGCTAAGTGCGAAACCTTTTTTGTGAAAATGAGTTTTATTTGCGTCATCATTAAAAATCATTTTCATATCAATGGCTTCGCACTTAGCCTCGCTTTGAAAGCGAGATTTTTTGGAACTCGGAAATGGCCTTTTCTCGACCGCAGGGCTCTTCTCTAGTGCGCACGTACGGAGGAGACAAAAGCAGAACAGATTATTATGGGGTCAGTAAAATGCATTTTCCACTCCCCCGAACGTTAAAAAAATTCCTAATCGTAAAAAAGGCTTTACTTTCTAAGAGGTCCGACTTCCATAGACAGATGACGAAGATAAACGAACTTCTCGCGCTGAGTTCCATATTCTTTTAAATGACGATAATTGTGACGTAAACAACGGAAGTCTAAAACTTTCTTAAACAGCCAGCTTTCCCTGCTTTCTGTGTTGTTTACATTGCGGCTTACAAGCTATGGAAGTACTGTTACTGTACCAATAACAGTATTTCCAAAGTTTGTAAGCCGCAATAGAGCCCCTACAGCAGGTTATGTAATGTCCCAGTAAAGGAAAACTTTGCGGTTTTTTGCAAAGAAGAAAAGCGTCACCACGGATGTCAAGACAAGGACGGCACGACTTCTGGAAACGCGAGAAATATCTTTACATTCAAATTCGAGGTTACTTCACTTCTCCCAATCAGAAAATACTACTTTATATCAATTGTATGCTGTAAGAAGACTATACATTTTCGTCAAGGTAAATAATCCTTTAATAGATAACAGTATACCGTAATGTTCATAACGCTAACTAGAAGATACATATGTATATCACTAAGTTAGTTTCAGCACAGTTTCGGTCGCGTGCAAACGTGTGTGGGGTGTACGTGAGAAAGACTTACACATGTGCAAATGTATGGACTTCAGTCCATGATTGTAGAAAGTATAGCTACGAGTACTTCAAATCTGGAGTCAATTTAATTAAACTTTTGCAAGTGCAGCTTACAAGTCAAGCTATTGTTTTCAGACACTAGAACAGTGAGCACAATTGTAAATCACATTTGTGAAAGTTTTATCTCATTGGCCCCTGGACGATCACCATCTGACACGAACTGCGGTTTAGACTGCATTCCAACAATGGTTTATTTCTATTAAAATGAAATGGAAGGATTGGAATTTTTTTTGTTTCACATGGCAATTAGATTGGTCTAGACTGTTGACAGGGACACTAATAAACTAGCACGGTCAATAGGCTACTTCCGAAACCCTCACTTTCAAAATGAGGCTAGGTGCACAACCTAGTTTTATTTGCATAAGAATGAAAAATGATTTCCATATCACAGGCTGAGCACCTACCCTCGTTTTGAAACAGAGGCCCGGGGGAACTCGGAAATGGCCTGTTGCTCGCGAAGGGGGTCTCGGATTATGTAAGAGACAAGGTTTCAAGAGGTACACCAGAGGCCGTCCCTTCACTTGTACGTTGTAATTTACGCTTTGTCTTCAGGAAGATCCAACATCTGTTTGGCCATCTTCATCGAAATTTTCTTCCCAAGCCTGGAGGTAGTACGAGAAAGGAGAGAGTTCAGGAAAGTGAAATGTGCAACAACTACACTAAAATAATCAAGTTGCATATTGTGTGAGCAATGTCAACTAAAGATGAGATTTGATTTGATGACGCACCAATGAAATTTAGTGTCTTCATAGCATAGCCAATAACATCACGGCTTAAGTAACAGAACCAATAGTATCGCGACTTTATTGACCGATCAAGGTCAATATTCAGACTTTAATACCATCTACTGACGCCATACAACTCACTATGACTCGGACAATGACCACCGCACAAGATGACGAATCGTCAGTATCGAGTCAGTCCTATTAAATTACACTCAACCATATTCTACCTACTTAAAAAAGGGCTTATTACGTCACTGCTGCTATTGCTCCTAGATGTAATTACACAAAAAAAGTCTAAAGTTACACCATTAAAAACTACAACACGAACAAATGAAAGAGGAGAAAGATTCCTGGCAAATATTGATTGAATAAAAGATGTGGCCTTCTATTGCACGTTTTATTTTTGTAAGCATTGAATAGAGTATTTTTTTAACGAAAGCCTACGGCTTTTAAAATTTTTTTCCAAAATAGCTTTTTATCTATGGATTTGTAATTAACTTTCATCCATGACTGTAAACTGTGATCTCTTATCGCATAATGTTTTTTTCAATCTCATTGGACAGTTGAAATACGACTACTATAACCGGCGCCACCTAGAAAACAGGGAGCTTCAGCAACGACGACGGCGACGGCAACGAGAACGGCAAGAAAGCAATTCGTTTAGATAGGAAAAACAACAGCTTTGCACGTACATCACTCATTTCTTTGCCGTCACGTGAAAATACCCAATGGAGACCTTGCGATTGAGGTTTTTCGGCATTTCCCGCGAACCGCAAACGTCAAGAAGTCACGTGACCAGGGCCTTGCTGTCAGGTTTGCGGTTTGAGGTTCACATTTGTACGGCTAGATCACGCTCCAGAGGTAAGTGATTTACCGCAAGGTTTTTTGCACCCTAAAACATCACAATCCCGCGTTGGAGAAGAAACGACTTTTTAGCGGAGCTCCACCCGCGCGCGAAGCGCGCGCGTGGGCGGAGCCCCATAGCTAAGAAAATGTGGTAATCTACCCATCCCAGAAAATTTGGTAATCACGTGACTGTACGACCGTCCGTCCGCACCACAGGGATACCAATGTAAAATAACTCAATCAACAGGTATGGGAACCCAAATGCAACTCAAGGTTTTATTTGTAAGGAAATCACATGGCCGAACGGACTTTTAGAAAGAAAAAAGTCGTGTCTTTTTCGGCGTTATTTTTTTATGTGTACACTAACGTGGATAACAGAGAAAAAGCTAGAGCGAGTTATTGAAAATTCGTTGGAAGAAAAACATGGAAATTCAAAGCGGCGGTGAGAAAATGAGAAATGCTAGCGGCCAGCAAGGTGAAAATGAGCGGCAGTGAAAAATAAAAGCGAACATGAACACTGGAAACAAAATATTGGGTAGGCACATACGACAATTTCTCCATAAAAATAGTGTGTAACTAGGAAGTTTGACGTTTTACTCGTACAAAACAGTGTTGTAGTCGTGCAAAACAACGACAAGGGAAAGACAGAAAAGCGTGCTGCACGTGCAAATTTGCTTTTTGCTAATTAGAAGAAAAAGTGTGCTGCACGTGCAATTTGTTTTTTTGCTAATTAGATCTATTACTCTTGAAGCCATTTTCATTCTCGTCCCCCGTTTAGCGTTAAACGATTTAATTTTTTTTGTTTACACGTATTATTAACCAGAGCTTCGCTTTTAGCCCTGGCTAAATCTATATATTAGAACTCTTTCGCTTATTAATTATTGAATTGTATTCTAAAAAAAGCAATTTTGAAGACAATTTCTCAGCAAAAATAGAAGTAAGTGGATGAATGAAAAGAAACCTGGCAGCCGCGAACTACCACCCGCGAATCTTAAGTCCCAAATATGGGCAGACGGGTAACGTGAAACCGTTAACCGCAAACCGCAATTTGGCGTTTGCAGTAAAATGACCAAACCTCGATCTTAAGATCTCTAATTTCACGTTTTGTGAAGGACGTGAACACAAGACAACGACTTTTTAAATTTCTTCTCTTGAACTTCGATAAAGTCTTTTAGAATTCAACTCTAGATACAAATGCCAATGACGAATTGAACGAGATGGAATAAGATCAAGTTGGAAGCAATGCGAATTCACTTTCTAAGTGACCTTTTCGTAGCCCTCGCCGTCGTTGTCGATGAAGCTCCCTATTATTCAGGGTCTGGAAGGGGTTTTCGCGTGATCCGTGAATTGACCAGTAAACAGTGTGAATCGGAAAAACTCATGAAAGACAGTCGTGATTCGTAAATTATATATTCACTGTGACGCGTGACCCTCTAACATTGTAGTCCCTGAATCGAGATTTCTACCGATAAAACAGATGTAAGTTTTGTGACGAGGGTTCGAAGTTAAACCATGAAAAAGTGAAAAAATTGTAAAGCTTCGATTTTATAGCAATAAAATTCATTGGCAGTCAACTTTGTAGTGGTCAAACAAAAAGCAGAGAAGAGCCAGTTTGATCCGCACCATACTTTATGTTTCCTTCCCATCACGGCGTCATTTAAGACCAACTCCTGCCTATAGTAGTCCAGAAACCACTAAGAATCGTTGATGGACTTGATCAGTTCGTCACCTAATTACGTGATTGGTGAAATGACTCCAAAACGTAACGTGATTCGTGAATGTACGGAAATTTAGCCCGTGATTCGTGATTTTATTGACCAACTGGAGTACAGAAAAAATAGCTATTGTCAATCCTAATTACCACGAGACGAAATCCCGGGGACGAAATAAACATTAAGGACCGAAATCAATTAAAACTTACAGACGTGCCGTGACCCCTCTGAAGAAAGTCTGTTTCCTGAGAAATCCGTTAGAATAATTGTCGGGGCAAAAAACGTAAACATTATGAGTTATATTTCTGACCTGATTTCGCATGTTACTGCAAAGCGCGGCAATGTTAGCGAAGAAATTACTGGTAGATGGCAAAATAACAGCTTGGGTCATGCGCCAAACAAATATGTCTTCTGGGCAATATATGTAATGAAGTTTTGGATAGCCAAACATTGTCTGACGAAAAATTTTGCTTTCTTGGAAACGTTTGCTATCAATATTTAAATTTTATGCTTCTAGTAAAACTTATTGCTGCAGATTGGCCACAATCAACTTCATTAAAAATGAACTGTTATATTTCTGTAACCAGATTGGTCAACTTTGTCTCCGTGGCACGCTTACGGTAAACGCACTGTAAGTCAAAATGATAGGAATGTTATTGAAACCTTTTTTTTTGTTCAAGGTTTTGCATGGTCCAGTCCAATAAAAAGGAAATCTGACAAAGATTCATAAACTTCATAAACATTTTGCACTGCACCGCATCACCTATGATAGTAGGGGCGTAGCCAATCGTACGCACGGTACGCATGTGCGTACCTGAAAAAAAAAACATAAAAAAGAGAAAAAAAGCAAATAAAAAAGGTTAGTCATTCTAAAAGGCACGGTTTGCCTCAATTCATTTAATTCTCTTGTTTCGTTGAAATATATTTTGTCAAACACCCAAGTGTCGTTTTCCGCAAAACCGATGTGATTCATTGGTGGCCATTATTGCATGGTGGCTCGAGAAAAGGCGGGAAAAAAAAGCGGGAAAAAAGGCGAAAAGAGCAAGCTGTATGACGTAAAGCGTGGACGCGTTCTTTGCACCACAACCTGTGTTCGCAGGTTCACTTTGTCAGTCAAAACAATGTGCAAAAGGCCTCAAAAAATCACTCATTTGTAAATGATACGACTTGACTCCTACTTGCTTGTGCGTACCTCTGGAAAAATCCTGGCTACGCCCCTTCTATGATGAAGGTATTAAATATTTAAACATACCATCTGAAGAAGTTTGGAAAGTACTGGTTTAAATAAGGACCTGTCAGAGCTGGATATTCTGCTATCCAGACTTCATCCAAATTGTTTGCCATGGTTAGGGCCATCAACTTCGCACAGCGTTCAGTTGGCATAGTTGGAATCTTGGCCACTTTCTTTAGAAAATCCTCGGATGGGGCAGCCTAAAGGACAAATAAATTAGCCAGCGAGCAAGCTCTCCCTGGTCTCTCGTGGGTATAGGGGTGGGCTGCGGAAAAAGCGCCCCGGAGAGCTTGCTCGCAAGCTAGAAATAAATTGTCCATTGAGATAACCCTGCGGAGCCAGTTTTGCTTAATGATACTTCACCAAGCAGAAAAGGAAAGAATAATTAATAACTAGTATTTTTGTACTGTTGTCTTTAAGTTTGAATTTCATGTGCAGCTGTTTTACAGGGTACATTTGACGCTATAATCACCCATACACTAAATGACAGAAACAGATTTACATACAAATGAATTAAATCATGTAATTTGCTTCTTGACAGTATGCATACTGTTTTGTATATATTTAGCCAAGCTTTAACGCAGATGTATGCTCCCAAATGTTGCATTAATCACTTGTTCTAACCTCCTCTGCAATCTTACGACGGCCAGTTACCTTGATTTGTCTCCAAGATGCCATGAGCAAAAAAATCTACTATCTACATGTATCCTTCCATGAGTTTCAGCTATGGTTACGAAGCCACTGTGAAGATGTTTTATTGTATGTCACCTGAACCCTTTAAGCCTTGTTAATATCCATATACAAATTCTATAGACTGATCCTGTTTTGCACATTTCTATAACAAAAGCCAGGTTTTATTACCTTGTTAATGTCTTCAGTAAAGGCAACCTTTATAATGTCAGACTTGACAGGTCCTGGACAGATAATCTGGACACCAATGTTGTACTCTGACAACTCAAGGCGAGCTGTATCAAAGTAACCCTGGAAAAGAAATTTGTATAATTACTAATGTCAGTAGAAAAATATTTCATCATTTACACTGAAGGATAAAAACGAGGTGCTTGGAAAATAACTTTCCAATTGAATATTCATGAACAGTGAGAGTAACATTTAAGCTTGTGTTTGCTTGAAACAAAAGTCGGGCATCATGCAAGCTAGTTGTCAAGCCAAACGTGTTAAGTGTATTGTTGTACACATGTTCATTTCTTGGAAATCAATATGTAAATTAGGAATTAATGAAATGTTAAATGCTATTTCTGTTAAATACCAAGGGTAAAAGATCAAGGGTCTATGGGTTATAAATGTTTCCTTAAATGAGTCATCACATACATTGGCTACACATTCACAACAATAAAGAAACATCTGATTGTTTTTTTGAGGAATACATACGTGCAATGCATGTTTACTGGCAGAGTATGTACTGGTATAAGGCGACCCTGAAAAAAGGTAAATGTCAACATAAAAGCACAAGAATAATAGTATTAAATATTCATTTCTGCATTCTTATAATCATATAATGGTGTTACTTTTTTAACTTTCTATCCAGAAAATGAACTTACAGAGTTCTAAAAAATAAACCTACAAGGTTTGTACAAAAAGGCCAGAAATGGGTTGCCAGATAATTTTACAGAAATATGTTAAAGTAGTCATATGCGTTTTTATATATGTGCATACTTGGCAAGTTTTGCAAGAAAATAATGTTCATGGTCATTCACAATAGCTTGCATTGAATGAATGCTTGTTTTTTTTAAAAGTTATATAACACAACATAAACTGTATGTGTGCAATCACTGTAGCTAAGAATTATGTATGTGGGCTGTGGTGCAAGTATGTGAATGTGCAATTGCACACAAATGACTGTGGCCAGTCTTTGACCCCGGTCAACCCCTGTCTGACCGGGTTCCTGATGCAGGGGTGGGTGTGTGGGTAAGTAAAAGAGCTAGTAAGGAGGTGACAGTTAGTTAATGAACATAATTTATGGTTAGGTAGTTGTGTGAGTATGGGCCGAAAGAGGTCTTGCACAAGTGAGTAGATGCGTGACTAAGTAATAGAGCTAGTATCGAGTGAGAGAGTGCATGTGTCTGTCAAGGTGGGTGTACGTGTGACTGTAGGGAAGAGCTAACTTAAGCAAGTGAGTAGGTGTGTGACTGGGTGAAAAAACTACAAAATGAGGGAGAGGGTACATGGGTGGGGTGATTGCAGGGTAAACAAATCAATCAGAGACATGATTTGAGCTTAAGCCTCTTTAGTCTCCAAAAGTATTACTGTCACATTTCGATCGCGAGTTAACATGGTAACAGTGTACAGACTTATAGGAACATTACCGATCTTTCCAGAAAGGCTGCTAACAATAACAATCTGTCCTTCACGGCGTTCAATCATGTGGGGAAGAATTGCTTTTGTCAGGGAAATAGTGCCAACAGTATTCAAATCCAGAATAGCTCTGTCAACTTCCAGAGAGGTCTTCCTCAATAAGCCAAACTGGCCCCTTGCACCATTATTGACCAAAATATCAACCTGGAAAGAAATCAAGACAGCTTGATAAAACTGCATGGAAAGCCCAGAGGGTACTACTCCTTATAATGGCCTATACGGGGAGCTCCACCCTAAAGGGTACGTTTTTTAGGCCTCAGGTAGCCTGTGTTACAGGCGTCTAATGGGGTAGGGGTTTGGAGGAAGGGAAAAAGGGAGGGGGGTTGGAGAGAGAGAGGGTAAGGGATACCTGCTATAAGAAACCCATTTTGTTCATTTTTGCACCTGCTGGCGTATGCAAATTCCTAATTGGCTGATCCGAAATGAGTAACTTAGTAGCATGTACTAGTGAGAAACAACCATCATGATGATGCAGGTGTCAAGGGAATTGTGTTTTACTGGCGTAAAGCTTTGGAAGATCAAAATTACTTCAGTCATGTAGGAACTTAATGCTGAAACCCGAACTAGAACCAACTGTAATAGCTTGTTAATCAGGCAGCAGATGTTCAGGAGGTTTTGTATCCTGGATAATTGTCCAAACACTGAGTGGCAGTTCAAAGCAATTATGATTCTTGTGAGGTAACTGCAAAGCCAATATTCACAAGAGCACCGGGTTACAATATTAGCATTGGAAGAATTAATAGACGCTGGACACGAGACTTTTCCGCAAAATCTAATACCGCATTGAACGACCTTCAAAATGGTTTGTAAAGAGAGTGCTGAAGCTTCGGTAACAACTGTCCATTGAGCTTTTTGACAAATGATTATTATTCTCTTTTTATAAATTATTCACGATTCAGGCTGGTGACTTTTCTGTACTTTGCAACCAAATGTGTTTGATGAGGCAAGGCCAAAGGTTTTTTCTGTATTCACACAAAATTGATGTTTGGCTTGATTATGATTTCATTTGAAAATAACTTGACTAGACAATTTCTGGTCTAAACAAAGTAATAACATTAAGTCTGGACCATCCTGAGAAGAGCTCCCTCCTTGTTATTGGTCACATATTGACAGTTGAAGTTATCAGATTAGTTAAGATATTGGTTGGAAGAATACAAAAATACCGGCTATTAAATAGCAGGCACTCCCTTCCCTTTTACACTTTTTTCCCTATCCCCAACTGCTTCCCCTTTTTACGCTACCACACAGTCTTCGTGTAGGCTTCAGGTATATAACAGGGTAGGGATTTCATAGATAGGTAGGGAAAATCTATCATTTTCATTTGTAAATTAAAGACCTAAAGGGCTAATAGAAGATTATTAGTCATGGCTGTGAAAAAGTCAATGAAATTTTCTACATTCTTCACATGCTCTTCTGACCTGGCATCATGCCATTTGCTTGTCTCTTAGGGCATAGTTATATTACTGTTTGTGTTATCAAACTATGACGGCAATAATTATATATCTAAGCATGTGTCATGGAAATTATGAAAATCCATATGAGAATCTTTGTCTGATGTGGATTCAGCACTTGATATTTATGCGTCTGTCATATTGGAGACCATTGACAGTTAAAGCTGTTTGTTTTCTCATGTTGAGAAAATCAAAGTTTATCATTATGTAACTAACAATAAGCTTTTGTTGTGAATTTTGCGAACAGGTCGTGTAAGTTTGTTTTCTGTTTTGAAGTCTTGGGTCAGGTAAATAAAACTTTTACAAGTGTATAGGCGTTGTTTTCAGACTCTACAACATGCAAAAAATATGACACTTGTAAAAGTTTTATTAAATTGACCCCTGGTGTTGTATAATTCACACTAACAGTAATTATCAGACAGCATGGCCTGTTGGCCAACGATGAGACTGCTCAATTAACTAAGTCATGAAATTTCTCTGTAATGACGGTTATACCCACAGCTAGACTGACATTGTCCACTCAGACCAACTGCTGTTGAATTCAACCCTATACTTGTTTCTTTTTACCTTTCCAAAATGCTTGAGGACATCTTGGGCCAGTTTTTCATGTGTGTCAAATTTTTGCAAGTCCAATGGAAGGACTAGAATATCTTGATCTTTTTCAAACGATGAATCATGGGCAAGGGAAATTGCTGATGGGAAAGAAATAGTAAGATCAAGCTCAGCATACAAAAAAAAGTCTTCTGCCCAATGTTTTAAGGCAGAATTTAGACTTCAAGGGCCTCCAGGGGTTGGGGTTCCTTCTTAATATATCTTTGCCAATACATGCTGCTGGACAAGCTCTCCTGGGTCCTCTGGCGGTGGGATGGGAAAAGGAAGGAGAGCTTGCAACTACGTCTCTGGAATTTGAATATCCGCATTGAGAAACGCTGATTGGCGGAGATGACATTAGTAATGAAATCGTTACCCTTGTTTACCCTTGCACATGTTTTTTTAATGTTTGACATTTACATTCGTGCTTGTTTTTGCTTCACGCTGATTGATGGAACTCTAACAGCTCAGTCAACGGGGAGCCACCTGGGAATTGGAGGAGGAATTCAAACCACGTGGGGGAGGAAGGGGGTGAAAACCTGAGAGAATAGGAAGCAGGAGAGGTCACGAGGTGAAAGAGGAAAAAGCGGGAGGTGGGGGTTCTTAAAGGTGGAAAGTCACGGTGGCAGAAATAGAGAGAATTTATTCAACAAAGCTTAATATTTTGCAATCAAAAAAGGGGTAAATAGAGAAAGTCAAGGGAAATGGGGAATGCAAGTGTAGAAGGTGGCAGATCTAAACCCCATGTCCCCCCTCCCACCCATCACAACTTCCAAACCCTCAGTAAGATTGCTTTAGCTATGCTCTAAAACTTGGGTCAAGTGCCCCCCACTCTTAACATTTTGCACACAAAGGGTCACCTAAAGCTGAGTACAAGCCCATGGAGTCGACAGGCATATCATCAACTATCTCAGGGGCCTCAAAAGGGAGCCGAACAAGAAAAAATGTATCATGAAAAATTTGAACATGTTAAAACCCTCATCTCAAACTGGCTGTATCTTAATAAACAAACCATTCTTTAAAACCCTGTTTTGTGTGTGTGTGTGTAAAAGGGGTTGGTAGGCCTACAGTTGAACCTCTCTAATGGACCCCAAAGGGACAGAGTGAATTAGGGACGTGTACGTATAAGAGAGGTCACTATGATGACGTCACTTTTAACACCCCAATGACGGGTTTAAGTGTTCAGTAACTAAAATCAAGCCCAAAATTCAGTGTATTGTTAATTTCTGAACCTAAAGTGATTAACATTATTTGTACTTCTCAGTTACATGATGTACAAATGAATTTTGGAACAAAACTAAATACTGCCCTCAAGATAAAGTGTGATAAAATTTCAATGTTTGTGTAACCGCCGACAGGACGTACATTAATCGCAAATTATCGACACCCGGTCCCTGGAGTAGCCGTATAAATAAAGAGGTTAAGCTTAAGTTTGTATAGATTCGCTCCCAAGGGCCGAGATTTTGTGTCCGTTGTCCGTATTAGAGAGGGTCCGTATTATAGAGGTTTCTTTTAGAGGAAATGTATAAGAATTTAGTCGGTACATAGGAAACTGTCCGTATTGGAGAGGTTTCCGTATGGAGAGGTTCGACTGTACACAACTTAAACCTCATGCCAAAATGCTGCTTGTTCCAAAATTTTTTTCAGCTCTGACTGGTAGATTATGCTCCAGAGGGTTCTACGTTTCGGCTGAGAAAATGTGATTTTTGCCGCTTGTTTCACACTTAGAGATCATAGCAGGCATATTGATTTCTGGTCGGCAGTATTTTCCCTGGGATGCAAGAGCTTAATTTTTCTTTGACTTCTTTGACCTTGTCTTAATTTGAGGCGTAAAGCCCTTTATTGCTGCTAATTAAGGGTGTAAGCTGAATAACTAAACGATCCATAGTCCATGAATGTGGTGAAGTTTCGTTATATCGAGGTTCTTTTTCATATATTATACTATACATCTTTCGTTACAAAGAGGACTTCGAGGTTCGTTTTATTGAGGTTCCCTGTTTCACCGGATTCATCGCGTTACATGGATGACCTGATTACCAAAAGGTCCGGTAAATTTTGGAAATATATTTCAACCTTAAAAAAGCAGCTATCTTCATATTTTTTAAGGTGTTGATCTTACCTGCACAATTTTTCTTGACTCTTTCTAATTCACCTTTTCTTCGTGCAGAAAGCACCAACTTACAGCCATATTTAGCCAGTTCGTAAGCTAAATATTCACCGATACCACTTGAAGCTCCAGTGATCCACACAACCTTCCCGCGCAACGCCACGGCGGGATTTTGGCCTATCAATTCGTAAATCATAAGCACAAAATCTGCATCCTGATATTTCACGAGCAAGACGCAGACAAGAGGAACTAAAACTGCAAGAACCAAAAGTGTCCGAGCCATGATGCTAAATGAAAAGACCACCAAATAAACAATGGTGTGTGAGCAATCGCGTGACGAGTATGTCTAAATGTCGCGGGTTGCGACTCGCGGGTAGAGGCCGCGGGTGCGGGTGCGAGTGCGGGTAAGTGTCGCGGGTGAAAATAAATCACCAAATTTAACAAAAAGATAATATAAACAACAACAACAACAAATTTTTTTAAATTTTTTAACGAAGACTAATTAGCAGCACTAAGGAAGACTAATTGTAGTTGTACGCTTTTTCGTTTATCTCCGACACGTTTCGTCTCCTACTGAGACTTCTTCAGGGAATGAATACAACTGACAAAGAACAGCATACATAACACGTTTTCTACGTAAGTAAAACTTCCGATAGAAGTCTGAATAATAACTTAACTATGCTGTAAACGGGCGTTATAAGAAACGCCTTAATCCATGTTATTGCGTGTTGTTATACTTTGGGGGCCATACGATCAGGGCTAATCGTATGGCCCCCAAACACTCAACGGAACTATCGGACTCTATCAGGATAAAGAATCGATCGACGTAAATCTGGAAATCTTCTTCCTTTTTGTCAGTGTGAAATCAGAACTATGAAAGTTTTCCCCCCTTGCATGGGTATTGTTGCCGTGAAACGTGGGAAAAATTAGCCTCCCCGCAGACGTCCTTTGGGGTTCGTTTGTCACTAGCCTGTTCCAAGCGTTCAGGGAGTGGAGAGCGGTGCGAAGTAAAGGAGTCCCTCTCTCACTTCCCCTCCCTCGCTTTTATTTTTTCGCGCTCCTTTTACTTCGCACCGCTCCCCACTATCTGAACGCCTGGAACAGTGGGGGAGAAATGAATGCGTGACAAACGAACCCCAAAGTCGATGAGCACGAATGACGATAACCTGAGATCATGCCCAATTTGAGCGGTTCTCATTCGTTTCGCCATGCTCGCCGGAATGTTATTTACAAAGCGAAACGAAAGTAGAGCCTGATCTCAGTTTAGAACGACGAATGGCAACTCTCAATTCATACTTTTTGGTGAGGAATTAAGTACACGCAAGTCTCATTTACTGCAAAAAAAAATGAACCAAATTGTGTCTTCTGAATCATATACATAGGGTAAAAACCATTTCTTTTAAGTAAACAAGTCACATAAGCTGACACTTCGGACCCCTACACTGAATAAAGAAGAGGTCAAGAAGGAGAGGGAAGGGTGGTCAAGAATGTCGTACAAGGGGAGGGGAGAATTCGTACTTCAAAGAAGTAGCCACCTTTGTAAGATCTTTCTAGAGGTCTTAATCATTTCTTTTTATTTAATTTCAAGAGCTCGTAGTTGAAAAACAAAAAAAGTTCTAATTGAAATTATAGGGTCTTCTTAACTGTAATAGCTATTTCTAACTCCTTCCTGTCTAGTCTATCACAGTGCTAAACCCTGCTTTCACTTGCCATTTCCAGGTCATGGGGCGGGGAGGGGGGTGTTGACGAAATTTTGATTTTTCCTCAAAAATTAAGATAGAAATGTACTAGGCATGGAGGAAACAAGATCTAAGAATGATCACTCGCAACATGGTAATGATAAAAAAACCTACTGGGAGATTACGCATTTATGCCACCAAAATTCATTTTATTTGTCTTGATTTGCAGAAAAAAGGAAAAAAGAAGTATTAGTTAAAGTCAGTTTTTCAGTCCGGTAGGGTTTTTGCTGTTTAAGGCGGGCACTGAATTTTTACACTCCCTTTTCAATACACTTCGCTGCTACATATAGGTAATATAGAGGTCAGCAAAGGGCCAACTACTTTTTTGTACTATTGCAACTTAGGGCGTACAAGGTACGGGAGTGGGTGAAATCCCCGGAAGGTTTTTTGAATCAACAACCAAGACAAGTCATCACATATCCAATGATACTTTTCTTTTCTCTATCAGAACTTTAACCTCCTCCCCAACAAATCCCAAACTCAGGTAGCTCGGTTACTTAGTGCAATTTTAACTAGCCAATGTAGTTTTAATCATGTGGATTTCTCTTTAATGACTTTTTCCTTTGTATCGCCCTTAGTTAGCTTTAAAGTATTGCAAATCTTCTTTGAAAGATAATCAATTTTTCCTTTATTTTATTAATAATTCAATGTTAAATTTGGTGATTTATGTTTACCCGCAAACTTTACCCACACCCGCACCCGCGACCTCTACCCGCGACTTTTAGACATACTTACAAGAAGAGTATTTTTTGGACCATTTTTTAAGGAAGGGGCGGCTGAGCAATTCTTCTTTATCAGTGGGGGAGGGGAGAGTGGTAATTTAAAAATTCAATTTTGAATCAAGGACCAGCTTTCAAAAAAGAAGGACCGGATCCTAATAAAGGATCTTATCAGCAAGAAGTGAAAATATAAAACAAAAGAAGCAAGGCTGATTTTACAGTCGGGAATATATAAAAAAAATAAGACCCTGAAGAAGGAAGGCTATGCCTACTGTAAAATCAGTCTTGCTTCTTTTGTTTTATATTTTGGTAATTTTAACAATATTCTTGGAGAGAGTTTAGCCTGCGTAGCAAGCGTTTCCGTGCGGTTTAGGAGCAAAAAACGAGGAACGAAAGTCAAAGACCGCGCGAAAAGTGGCGCAAGTAAAAGAGCGGGGAGGGGGTGGGCAAGAAAGGAAGGAAACCAGAAAAGGAATCCCAGAAAAAGGATTTCGGCGCTGTTTCGCAAACGGACTTATAAGCAGAGTTTAGTTACGTCTGTGGTGCAGGCTACATTATATTAGGGTGGACACAAGAAGGACATGCAAGAAGGTCGGAGAGCCAGAGGAAGACCAAAAACTACTTGGAGAAGGACTGTCGAGAAACAGCGAAACAAAGCAGAGTGGAAGAGCCCCGGGGAAGAGCTGGGAAGTAGCCAAAGTGGTTACATGAGGATGGTGATGATGATGATGATGATGATGAGGCGCACAGGGACTCATGGGAAGGGACAAAGGAAAAATACAGTTGTTTGCACGAGAGTGGAAAAGCTTTCTTGGCAGGCAATCTCGACCCAGAGCTCTTCTGCACATGTAGAGGAGAGGGATCAAGAGCATTCCCAAACCCGTATAAAGCACTGGGGTGGAGAATGGCTTCTTCTACAGTTTTGACATGATGTTGTTTATTTTGCATTTGCAAATATATTTCTACAGATGGGATTTTCTTACGTTTCGAATTCTGAAGGCTTGTTATCGTAACATGTCAGTACAATAGCTCGACAAAATTAAGTGCCATCAAAAATACAAGTTTGTCTGGTTAGCCTTGCATTTGGTTTTAAGCAGACCTGCCAACTCTCACGCTTACAACGCCGTGAGTCTCACGATTTTTTAACTCATGGCCTCCCGACAAGCCTCTTTTGGGATAATATCATTTTTGATGGCACGTTGCCTAAACCTTTTGGCCATGAAGTTGCTTATCCGGAATCGAACCCCGGACCCCTTGAGGCAAGTTTTGTCTCCGTTGTGCCCTCAATTCTCTGGCCCATTAGAGTCATCAAAGAAAGAGGCATCTTGTTACAAGAGGGACCACAAATAAAGCAAGGTAATATATAAATAACGAGTTGATTTACCCAATGGAAAAAAGGTTCGTTTAATATTGATCGAGAAAAAATATAATCTCACTACTTTTTGTAGAATCTACAGATTGTTTTCATGAGTCTCCAGATTTCCCTTTATCAGAAGTTCGCAGGTCTGTTTAAAGTCTTATCATAGTAAGGTCCCCACACTGAGATTCAGCTTCACTCCGCAGCTGCTCAGTGTTGATGCGGTCCTTGGATTACTGCAAGTTATTTTCTGAGACTATGCAGTGGTTTTTGCTCCAGTATTCATGTACAGTTCTGTCATAATTTCCACCATATATTTCTTGGAAATCCTAAAGAAAAAATAACAATCACGTTCAGGACAAGGTTCAAATTTATCAGTCAGGCACAAGGGGAAGAAAGAGGGGGGGAGGAGAGGGGGACAGGGGAGGGGGAATGGGAGAAGGGAAAATGGAAAGGGGAAAGCTGAGAAAAGGGGGTTAGAGAAAAGATGAGGAAGTTAAGGGAAACAAAATGAGGGGGAAGGGAAGTGGAGAAAGGGGGAAGGAGGAAATGGGAAATGGGGAGGGAAAGGGGGAAAGAAGAATGGGGAAGGGAAAGAAATCGAGGGAGGGGGAAACGCTACATAAGTGTTGAAGGATAGACATCTTACTTCGCATACTGGTATATCCAGTTTCATTTTAAGTCAAATTAATAGTGATAAATTTCTATTGAAAACTGTAAATTTTAGACTGGATCAAAGTGAACAATTCTGAAAAACTACTACATGTACTACAAGACACACATACCATCTAAAGAGGTTTGGGAAGTACTGGTTTAGATAGACATTAAGTAGACTTGGAAATTCTGATATCCAGACTTCATCCAATTTGTTTGCCATGCTCACTGCCATCAGTCTCGCACAGCGCTCTGTTGGCATTCGTGCCAGTCCATCAAAGTAATAAGGTGAGTCTTTAAAAGCCTGCAAAAGCGACAAAATGCTTGTTTAAGGGCATGCTGAAACATACTTTGTGGCCATAAATATATATATATATGCCAGTACTTGGCATCTTGAAAACCTGATTTTGTGAAAAATGTTTTAAGTGTACCTTGGCTTGAGATGTTGCAACATGCTGACAACACAGTTTTGGTAACAACACAGTTTTGCTCTCAGAAAAATGTTGTTCAACCAAGCTTCAATCCAATAAAATTCACTTACTAAACTTAATTGAACAGTGTCAGGTATAGTTTTTAAAAATAGCTACACTGTTATCATCTTTGTGGTTGCACTTGCTGATGAACCCAGTGTACCTACTTATTTTTTTTATTTATTATTTTATCTTATTTGCCACATAATAATTACAAAAAATATAGGAAAAGAAGAAAAAAAGAAGTGGCGAGGAGACCTAACAGAAACTATAGGAGCTTATGAGAGGTTAGGCCTCCTCGAAACTATGAGCTAGAGCTGTTCCACATCAATTGAGAAATTGATTTAATTGATTTAATTTGGCAAAGATCTTTAATTTAATTGTGAGAATGTTGAAAGGATGCAGCAATTTTTAAACTCCTTGTTACATACCACATTAATGTCCTCGGTGTAAGCATACTTAGATATCTCTGACTTGACAGGCCCTGGAAGGACTGTCTGGACTCCAATGTTGTACTCAGCCAACTCAACACGAGCTGTGTCAAAGTAACCCTGGAAGAAAAGTCAAAGACAAACAACATGTAAGGATCAGCACAGGTGTAATTTTATAGTAAGTGATTAAGGAGTGCTAAGTTTTGAAGTGAGTGTTTTCTGCCTTGTATCCGGGCACTTCTTGGGATTTTCAGTCACTTCTCTTTTGTTCTATTTGAGAATAAAATGAAAACCAGGATTTCATGATGCTGAGTATACGAAACAAGTAGGAGGGGAATTGAACACCTGAGAAGTCCGTTTGGTTTTATTTTCCTTTAGTTTCCTATGAAAGTGGCCGTGGGAAATCCCCAGCCCCTGCCTAGCCTTAAGTGTTAAAGCTGCAATAATTTATCCACAATAATAACTTATTAGAATCTGATTAATTGTAACTGACCATACCTGGAGTGCATGCTTACTGGCACAGTATGTAGCTTCATAAGGCAGTCCTATCAGAAATAATATACCAGGTACAGTATTTCAATAAAATCATACACTAACATTGACAAATTCTGTGCTTCAGTCAGAAAGACATAACAATTACCAAACTTTCCCAGGACACTGCTCACGATAACAACCTCTCCCTCACGACGCTTGATCATGTGTGGTAGGATGGCCTTAGTTAAGGATATTGTTCCTACAGTGTTCAAATCCAAAAGTGATCTGTCTACCTCTAGGAATGTTTTTTTCACTAATGACCTCTGTGATCGAGCACCATTGTTGACTAGAATATCAACCTGAAAAACAAACAAGGAATTATGCACCTATCAATGTAAATCCCGTGGGGGGGGCGGGCAAGGGGAGGGGATTTGATGCCTGAGACTATCCCCCTGTCGGGCTTTTGATCGTGAAGCGACCCCGGGGTCGGGACATTTGACTTTCACCGATAGAGGCACGGTATCAATTCAGAAGCGGTTACCAAGTCCGTCCCTCGAGGCTTTCTGAAAGTCACGCTGTTGGAGAAAGGTATGAAGTTTTCATTTGCTTTAATCGCCATAATCCGATACTTTAGACTGTCATCTAAACAGATAATGTCTATTTTGAGAAAGTTTTTATCTTCAAGTTCCCATCTGATTGTAAACCTCGATTGAAATCGAATTTTATCATGAAAGTCAGAGGATTTTTTACGGGTCACTGATCAGACCTGTTCCCACATGTTGAGCAGATGTTATAAAGCATTTTACGTTTCATTAATATAATAGCACGGTCAATCTTCCTGGAGCGATTATATTGTTCAAAATAAGAGATGCTAGTGGAGAGAGAAAATACTTAATTACAGCAAGTAATTTAACGGAACTTACGTTAACCTTAAATAAAAGTAGTAAGAACTCACTTTTGAAATGTTCTTTTATTCGTTTTAAATAGTATTATAAGTATTGTTTGTTTAGATTTTCCCCCCGGGGTGGGGGCTTTTTTGACACTTTTGATTGACCTTTCGTTTCCCACCCTGGGGAATTTGATCAAAAAATTTTAAAATTTGTCAAATCCCCACCCCTTGCCCGCACCCCCTCCCCCCCCCCCCGGGGTTTACTTTGATAGGTGCATTACTCAGAAAAATAACCTAAACATGGAAAAATGAATATGAAAGACAGGGTGCAAAGAAAGTTCAGTTTATTTTCTAACATCCAATGGTCAATTTATTTAATGCAGTCTTCAATAGCAGATTTACATGTTGACAAATCCTCAAGCAATGACGTTTCAAAAGATAAATGTAACTGTGTATCATCAGCATAAAAGTGATAAGATACATCATGAGATCTTACAATATCACCTAAGCTAGACCTCCCCAACATCAGGAGAATACTCATCCATTGAGCTACAGAGGGATTTATGGAGAGCAAGGGCATAATAACAGTAATTGGTAAAATCCAACTAGTGGTCTATTACCAATGCTCCGTTCTGATTGGTTGAGCTATTACTAGGCTATATATGTTATAGCCCACTAGTAGAGAAAAGTGCGCGCTTTTTGGCGGCAAAAAACGATTGAAGTCTAAGTTTAACTAGCTAAAATTTTTTTATTCTCGATATTTTTGACCAACTAGTTGGATTTTACTAAAACAATTATTCCTCTCACCCTCATGGCCTCTGAGTCAATAGCCCATGAAAGGCCTCATGGGCTATTGACTCAGAGCCCATTCGGGCTCGAGGAATAATTATTGTTATTAATTAGTTAAGGTACAGAAATTATAGCTAGTGTATTGCTTTGTTTATATTCCGGTGTCATGCAAGTAAAAGGTGTATCAAGGAACCCAACAAAAATAATCATGCACAGAAAACTTACCATGACATGTTCTCCTTTGCAGACTACTTTATAGTAATCCTTATAGTCATCCTTTTTGTTCTGTTTAACTTATACAGGCACTTGCACGTATAACAGTATGGTAAGGTTCAATAATTGTGGTGAAAACAGCATTTCATTTTCTGTGCTGTTTCAGATTCAATTAACCCATTTTCAACAAAAAAAGAGGAAAATAAAAATTTTATCAAGAGAATTTATATACAAAACTGTTTATAAAATTTTAACAGTGTAATATATGCCCTTCCCTTTCCATCACAGTATTAATTATCATAAACATAATAAGTAACTTTTTCTAAACCTTTCCATAATGTTTCAGAACATCTTGAGCTAGTTGCTCATGTGTGTCAAATTTTTGCAGGTCCAGAGGAAGAACAAGAATATCTTGACTATTTGAAATACCTGGAACATGATTAAAAGTTCATAAATGTGTTAGTGGCGGTAGGAGACTTAAGCACCTGTGGTGGTACTTGACCAATATTTGAGTATAGGTGAGCCACTGAGAGTTTGAAACCCCGACCCTTTGTAGGACAAAAAATTCCTAAAATACATACCCAGCTGTTTATTTATTTCCCTTTTTAGGACAAAGGACAAAATGCATGAGTGTCTTGTTTTTAAGCCATTTATTAATTGCAATTGCAACAGAGCAAATTCATGTTCTAGTCATTACTTCTGTATACCTGAAGTAGAAAGAAACTCCATCTAGCAAATCAAATCAATCATGCAGGCAATACCCTCAACAAGTGTGAGGTCAGTTTAAGGAATAAGTGCGCTTTTACCACAAGGTGCCCCCACACCATCAGTGCTAGCAAGGGTTTATCCATCACTATGTCAATAAGGCAATAATGTCAATATTCCCAAATATTTTCTAAATTCACGATTTTAGATTTCAAGTTTCCATTTTTATTGTAAATCATATGTAATTCAGCCTATGCATGGCTGTCACATTTTTGATCAATAAACTATCTATCTATCTGTTGACAGACTCAAACAAAATTATATACCCTGTTTAGGACAGACCAGGGTGCAAAGAAAGCCAGTTTTACAGCCTGCCATTTGGGCAAGCTGTAGCTAGCACGTACCAGCTCACAAGTCATTTCAACTAGCCCCAAAACCCTTTTTGATTAGCAGGATTGATTACAATCCTTCTGTAATTTGAATTTCCCCAAAAAACAGCACTCGCCCATTGGGTAAGTTAAGAACAAAAATCACTAGCCAGATAGCAAAATCCACTAGCCCCTGGCTATCGGCCACAACTTTAATTTCTTTACACACTGCAGACAGGTCAAAAACCATACCCTGTCCAGTGGTACGTGGCAGGCACTACCCTTGCTGCATTCTATGGAAAACATAAAGTTCATAATTTTACTAGCGCTAGGATTTCACAGTAACCATCGATTCCAGTACTTTGTCATTAACGTGATCTTAAAATAATGGCGCTGAAAAATAGTTTCCCAGTGACGTATCCTGATATATTCAGACTAGGGGAACAAAATTGCACAAATATAGTAGTAGAACATCTTTGGTTTTTATTTTGCATGTTCCCAAAGTGCATTGCATGTAACTGATGACTCACATATAAAAGATGTTTTTCAGTTAAAAACAGTGATTTTTATGACTTCCAGTGCCAAGAAAAACTATATGACTCCAAAAGTTTAAAAACATTTAGAAAGCAGTCTTTTTAGTGATGATTTCACTGTTGAAACTAATGATGAGGCCTGAATCTCTTTATGAAAAGACAAGATCTGTAGCACGGAACATTTCAAGTGACTATACTTCTTTTGTTGGATCAAAGACGAGTCTGGAGTTTTTGACACTTTAGTGCACACACATTCAACTATTAAATTCACCTTCTTCTGACATTTTAATAGACATTGAAGTTCTTTGTAAATAATAGTACACGCTGATGTCCTTTAATTTTAAATTTTCAAGGAACCAAAAAATTGTTACAGATGCAAATGGTTTCCCATGATCTCTTTGCATGCCAAGAAAAATTGTTATGGGATTTGAAATCCTAGGGCTTGATTTTGTTGTATCTCAAATGATGAACTGCCATAAATCAACTATTAGCCTTCTTGGAGGGGAGAGGTTGGGCTTTTTTTTTTCAAGCACTTCTGATTCATATGGTACTCTGAATATGCAAACAAAACTTTGTAACTGCAAGTGAGAATACTCTTGAACGCAGCAGTAACAAAGAAAATTTTGATTTTTTTTTCTCAGAAAAGGATGTTTTGCTTCAGCAAACATCAAAGATAAAAACAGTGAAGATGCAGTTATTGTTGGGAGCTCCCTGACGCTGCATAATTCTTTGTTTTTTATTGATAAAATAACAATATAATTGCATGTGACTGAATATATCATGGGATGTTTTCAATGGTCAATAAGATAAAAATTATAATGCTAATAAGTCCAAACAAAAAAAAAAGCACACAAAAATATATACCAAAGAACTCTAACACACAGTCTTCATTAATTACCATTCCACTTGCACTACTACATGTAATGTGTTTTTATGAAAAACTGGATACTGGGAATAGAGTGATTTTACTTGACCGTGAAAGAGAGAATATAACAACTAGTGCAATATAGCTACTAGTAAACAAAAGAAGGCAATGGAATTATTGCATAATAGAGCATACTATTCTACTACCTACTTTACGGGTTAAGTTAAAATCACTCTAAAAGAAGCCCTTCATAGGCATGGCAAGAACCGCCATTTCGTTCTCTAAAATGGTGAATAAATCACCCACGAACAGTCTTTAAATTGACCCAGATCACCAGAGATAACCAGTAGTTGTGTAGTGGCACAACAAGTACTGTATTAAAAAAGATGTCCTGCATGCATTCAGTTTCAGGCCAAAATTGGTTTTATTTATCAGAGAATTGTGTTAACGCCGTTTGCCAAAAGCGTACGAGAACAAAATGGGTTTGCCAATAATGGAACTAATACAAGCTTTTTAAAAATGTCCAAAATGAGCTTAGTTATGCATAATTTCACGGCTGGATTTCCTGTATGAACAGATACATACATGTGTATACAAATTCCAAAAATTACGATTTAGCGTATTTAGCCTGTTTCTATTTTTTGTCCTAAGTTCTAATTATAAATTTTCATCTCCTTGGATTGTTTTGAAATCAATCGTGGTCAGAGCTGTTGCATACGCCTTTGCTTTGAACGCTGAACGAAATGCCGGCCGGCCGGACCTCAATCAACTACAAGTTCCAAGAACCTCTCCAAGGGATTTTTGGAAACAAATAGTATATGTTGTGCTTTATAGCTTACCAGCGCACTTTTTCTGGACTCTCTCTAATTCATCCTTTCTTCGTGCAGAAAGCACCAACTTACAGCCACATTTAGCCAGTTCGTAAGCTAAATATTCACCGATGCCACTTGAAGCTCCAGTGATCCACACAACTTTCCCGCGCAACGCTACGGCGGGATTTTGACCGATCAGTTCATATATCATGAGCATAAAATCTGCATCCTGATATTTCGCAAGCAAAAAGCACAGAAAAGGGACTAAAACTGCAAGAACCAAAAGTATTCGAGCCATACTGAAGCTGTCTCAACCAAACGAGTGGGGACTCGCGTGACTAAAACTCATGAAAGTCATAGATCTTGTCACGCAAGTAGGCTCTTCTTGTCAACCTCGTCCCCAGGGTCTTCTCGCTTTCCAAGAAGACCCTGGGGAAGAGGTTGTCTTCTCGTTTTTTCGATTGCCAATGTGGGGGCGGTGCCACAATGATATAGGCATCCCGTGCGTTTAGGGCATCCCCATTCCCAAAACCTTAGTGATATGGGCATCATATGAGAAGGGAATGCCCACATCACTAGGGTTTCTGGGAATGCGGACGCCCAAAAAGCGGGGATACAGAGATGTGAACGCCTAACGTGTTCACATCTCTGTTTGAAACACCACAGGTATCCGAAGCTCAAGTTACGAGTGTGTTATGTAAATTAACGTCCTCACGACAACAACAACTATATATTGAATACAGTGAAACCTCTATTAATCAGACCCCCAATTAAGCGGACACCCTCTATTAAGCGGACACTAAGCCGAATCCCGATGTTAACGTCTTATATTTCCCTTTATAACGAACCCCTATTCAGCGGACACCTCTATTAAGCGGACGCGGACACTAAAATAAGTTGTATTTGGCTAATTTCTATTGTTAAAACCCCTACTTAGCGGACACCGGACTAAATTGACAATAGTAGTATTGGATTACGTCCTTGAAATACGTGCTGAAATCAGTTAATGTTTTTGGATTTACAAACAAATTAAAGTTGGTACTGAAAGGTAATGAACTTGAACTCTGGATAGCTTCTTTAACAACATGCAACTTTATCATAGTACAGAGTAACTGTTGAATGTTGATCGTTAACAAACATTGTGCAATTTTTACAACCTCTATTAAGCGGGCACCCTGGGAAGGTCCTGAAGGTGTCCGCTTAATAGCGGTTTCACTGTTTTAATATAAAAAGAAAAAAACTTGGCTATATACGGCTTCTACGCTACTCGTATTGTAAGAAAGTTTAATTAGGGGCCGACCATTTAACTCTTGAGGGGGGAGGGGTGGGTGATTTTGAAAAAAAAGTTCCTGCAAGCGCTTGTCGGAAGAAATAAATTGCATCGAGCACAAATGTAATAGAGAGCTTATGGGAAAAAAGGGAAAAAAACATCCTGCCCACCATATTGCTAGAAAAAAAAAATTCTTGATGACCCGAAATCACCCACCCCCACCCTCAAGAGTTAAATGGTCGGCCCCTTAGAGTTCGGATTTACAACAATTTAGAATATTTTCAATATAAGACAGGGTCCGCCGGGGGGTGGGGGTGGTGGGATACTAAATTACCTGAGAAAAACCTTCCAATATACCAAAAATTATACTAAAACTCGTGTAAAATACCAAAATTAAGAAAAACACGGTATATTTATACCCAAAATTGGTCGTCAGGGAATACTTTATACCCAATTTTTAAAAAATACTGTATACCTGAAATTAAATACCCCAATATATTTTGCGAGTTACGTAGTACAGTCGACTCCTGGTAACTCGAACCCGCTATAACTCGAACCTCCCGCTAACTCGAAGCAATTTCATTTTCCTTCAGATCGTTTTCTACATAATTTTACCCTCGATAACTCGAACTCCCGATAATTCGAACTGTTTTCTATTTCCCTTGAAGGTTCGAGTTATCGGGATTCGACTGTAAGTAAGAGCAATGAGCAAAATGTCCGCTCGTATTAAATGCTAAACCCTTGGATAAGAAGTTTATCATTCCACTATAAATGTTCCTACATACTATGTAAAAAAGATGAAGGAGGCTATTTTCCCTGAAACTTCATGTACATAGTAAGGACAACAACAACTCGCCACATGGTAAGTTTCATCGATTTTTATTTCCATTTTGTAGCAAATTTCCAGACCTAAACTTCGTCCCAAATGTTCTCTATGTTAACTCATGTTGTGAACCCTGTACGAGACACAAACAGTGAGCCTGGGTTACCTGTGGTCTTGCCGTTAATGGCGGCCATCTTGATTTTCACATGTACTAAGGGGGCAGGCGTCGGGGATTAAAGTAGATATGACGCTAGTCTAAGATGGCCGCCTGTAACGCAAAGTCTTCGATCTCGACGGTCTTACGGAAAAATGGGGGACTGTGAACATTATAGATCGCAGGTTAGGTTGTAACTTTGCACACATCTTCTTTGGGGTTTTGTTTGACTACGAGTAGTCCCCCATTTTTCCTCAGCGAAAGAAGAGCGAGCGAAACGTGAGCGCGCGTGAAAATCACCCCACGCGAGAAAAGGCGACAAGCGGCGGGGAGAGAGAATTTTCTCTCTCCCCGCCGCGTGTCGCCTTTTCTCGCGTGGGGTGATTTTCACGCGCGCTCGCGTTTCGCTCGCTCTACTATGGGGGACTACTCGTAGTCTAGGGTTTTATTGCGTATATCGCTCGGGGTAGTCGGACGTGCCTTAAGCAGCTCCGCAAGGTTTTCTATATTTTGTTTACTCCGAGCGTAAGTTAAAAAGTTTAAGTGTCCAATGTATATTTACTTTTAATGATGGGAGACATGAAGCAATTGAAGTACGCATTAAGTCTCCTTTTGTTATTTTAGTACATATTAACCATTCTTATTGCAATGTTTTTGTGGGACTGTTCCGCCCAGATTAGCAAATGCTACTTGCGGACCATATCTTTGTGTTGTATATTTACAATTATTTATTCAAATAAAGTTGAATTTGAAGTTGAACTAGCGGGCTTATAAACAGTGGGGCTTATATCCGGAGTTGAAAAAGTGCCTCGAAACAAAGTGTCATAATTGAATCTAATCAGAAGGACCCAGAAGATAACCCCTTGTGCATTGTTATATGCTTCTGATCGAATTCCTTTTAAGACAAGATTTAGGGTTAAGATTTATGATTGGACGTATTTTTTTGTTTACAGGAGATGGGCCTTTTTGCTGGGACGGCTCACAAGTGATAAAAAGCGGCTGTTTACTGTATAGACTAGGAGAAGTCTCTCTTTTTTCTTGGCCCATCGAGCAAAACGCGCGAGACAAGCAAATGAGAGCTCGACGCTCACTAAATCTGAAGAAAAAGAGACTGCTCGCAGTCTATATACTGTACAACAAGCATTCCAAGTTGCAAGTAACGTAAACCTTGAGTACCTTGGATTGTTCACAGTCCCAGAATAACCCCAATCTTCCATAAGATCGTCGGGATCGAGTAGTTCCGTTACCAGTCATTTTGGTTTCAAATACACTGACGCGCAGGATCAGGAGTTGAAGGAGGGGAGTCTCCCGTTGTGTACCATTTTCGAAAAGTTTCCGGAATGGAACACGACTTTTTTGGTCGTTCAGGATTCAGGCTTTCCAGTTTCATGCTTTCGCGGCCGTTTTTTGGCAAATGAAACTGATTTGAACAAACGGGTAAACGCCGTCCTGAATTTTGCATCTCATTTGCCTGAAACCGTGAACCCGCGATCGGTGAACAATTTCTATTTCTCTCGCCTCCTCCCAACTCGTCCCCCAACCCTTAATTAGACTTAGTACATTTGCGGAAAACTAAGATGGCCGCCCGTAAGTCGACGTAAGGGTGGATACTCGATCTTGACAGGGACTGTGAGCAGTCCACGAAAATCTGGTTTAGCTCAAGAGAACTTTTTGGCCATGTTATCACGTTGCAATGGTGAAGTGAAACAATACTGAGCCTAAGGTAGAAAAACAGCCCGTATTTTTATGATATAGGTCAAACGCACGGCCAGTTAGCCTGCCACTGCAGACGTATTACAGACTAGGGAGAAAAGGAAAAACCGGAAATACGTCTGTGGTCGCGGGCTAACGGTCAACTAGTACTACTTCGCCCCATGTATGGGAATCCACATTCCGGAAACGGGGAAAGTTTTTTTGTTTTATCCAGGTGCAGCTGTTCGGTAACTGAATGAATGAATGAATGTGTTTACTACTTTTCCACTAAATGGGTTTTAAAAACTAATTACAATCTAAATACATTAAAATTAAAAATCTAAAATTCTAATAGATGTTAAAATATATCACATTACTAATTAAAAACTACTGAGAAAGTCCTTTGAATGTCTCTTGAAGATTGGCAAATTATCACATCCTCTTATTTCACATGGAAGAGAATTCCAGAAACTCGTTGCACGGTATAAAAATGTGCGTTGCCCAGAAGCTGACTTATAAGCTGGGATATTCAAGTTAATCTTATATCGAGGGTAGCTAGGGGCTAACCCCTTGAAACATTTAAATGCTAAAACTCCAAGTGTATATTTAAGAAAACTGGTCACGGGGAGCCACCTTAGCTTTACCCTATTAATCTGACATAAGCTACCTATGCACTGTATAACTGTATCCCTCTCTTTACGAAAAGCAAACGAAAACACACTATAGCCTGCGTGGCAGGCGGTTTAGGTATCTGGAGTGTTTTTCGTTCGTGGTTCGCAAAATAAGAGACAAAGACTAGCGAAAGTTACTGTAAAATTCGGGAAGTAGTCATAAAATTTCGCACGTGTTAGCAAATCCCGAATTTCCCTTTTTGCTAGAAATAATGGAAATTATAGGCATGATAAGCTTTACCGAACTGATTCCTATGTAGATATATACCCATAATTCTTTCAAATTCTTATTCAAAACAATAATGTAAAAGAAGTTTCTCCAAAGTACAGAGTGCGGATATTTTCACATCTGTTCATGATTGCCAACGAGCCATCCGAGCGAAGACGCTCGGATGGCGAGGCGGCAGCAGAATAGAGCCGCGCAAGACTGGGCAATAGGCAGAAAAATTCTCGATCGAGCTGAAAAAAGTGTAACCTGATGTAATGTAGATTCCCCTGAGACCAAGTGGTCAGTTGTGAACCAATCAAAAGGCAGTACCAGGCGCACGGGCTCAAGTTGAATAAAATACAAAATTTCACACAATTCCCGCCGTCGCGATTTTCTGTTTTTATTTACCTAAATTTTTTCGTCAAACCCGGCCACTGCAGTCAAGAAACATGAGCACTTGATATATTCTATTAATTTTAG